ATTTTCATAAATACCACCTCATATATTAGGAGACTGGCTCTTTTTAGTAAATGGCAGAGCTAAAATTTGAACCCAGTTCTGTCAGATAGCAATATCTACATGCTTTTAAATGAGATATTTGAAAGTGCTTGGCAAAATGCTTAAATAACTAAATGGTAGCTATTGTTGTATCTATTCAGCTATGCTGTCTTCCACATTATAAACACACACACACACAGTAAGAAAAAAACAGAAGAGGTAGCATGATAACATGCTATCTCCAATAGTAAGCATCCTACCGTGCCATCAGACCTTCCAGTCTACAAGCAGTTAGAAGCTAAAATCAAGGAGAAGCCACTTTACAAGATGGTAATACCTAGGAATAAATGTAAAAATAACTGCACATCTTTTCTGTGGACTCAGGACAAAAAATAGACTTGAATGAAGGGAAAAACATATGTTCTTGTATAGAATGAGTCAACATCATAAAAATGTTAATTGTCCATGCGTTGATTTATAAATTTAACATGAACATAGTAACAGTATTAACAGTTTTTACCCAAAAGCTAGATAAGATCCTAAACTTATTGGAAATACATCTCTCAATAAGGTATATAGTTTATTCTTTCTCCTCACCACCACTAGTTCCCTATATATAGACGAATATATAGAGAGGTTAAAAATCACTTTTATAGTTTACATTCTGAAGAACCGTACTCTTATAAGTAGATTGGAATGGAGAGGAGTGTTTATAGTAGCATCATGCAAGTCTTTGAAACTTACAAGTTATGTGGCAAAAATCATGTAGTGAACTCATCAAAAATTATTTTTAACAAATTATCAGCTGACAACTTGATTAGTTCCTTCAATTTTGTTATTGGCATAGAATAAGAAACTGCCCATTGGCAAAAGGATTATTTACCTAGTCATTATAGTGCCAGCGGATGCCAGTATTTCAAATTGTCTCTTTGTTTAGTGTTGAGAAGTTTTCTACGATAGTCCTTTAATATTGCTTATTTTAAAATCTACCTACATCATTGTTTTTTCCCTTTTCTCCATAGTTGCATTAAAATCCTCCCCTGCTGACAGAAATGGAGGCCAGGATAACAGCAGAGCAAATTTCACAGAAGGCCTGAATTTGCAAGAAGGAGAGTTGTTATTACAGGTAAATTTTAGCAAATATAGTTCATTACAATAAGGGCAATTATAAATGGAAAATTAATTAGTCTTTTAATTATTCCTATTTTATTTATGAGTCACTGAGTGTTTCCTGCCACTTTCATCTGAACTGCAGGAGTGGAATAATGCCTAGTACATGAAAAAATGGAATTACCGTCACGCACTGCATAATGACATTTCAGCCAACAGCAGACTGATATTATAGGACAGTGGT